AGATCAAATAATCTGAACTCCAAAGCAACTTGGAGAACCTAGAACATCTCATACACCATCAATTACAACGAAAATGATGTGCATTATAGTCATGGATCTGGGTGCATAAACTTTTTTTCATTCTGTTAAAAAATGTCAAAATTAAGCGGAAAATATGAACCTCACTGTTTAAAACTTCTTTTGAATTTTCAACATTCTTATACCGTGGACGTCACTTATCCGTAGAAACAGTGAAAACATATTGTTATAACTTGGGACACTTTGTCCCTATAGGTTCTTCTGGATTTTGATATCTTTCCGAAAATCACAAACGCACTCGTTGGTGGTTAGAACAATAATAATCTTTATTCAGAATTATATTCCTTAACACATTTTTCCTACGGGAGACACCTGAAGTCATTATGTGACAGTTTATATAAACGATCACCAATCAGCGATCGATATTAACAAACGAGAGAATGAGAGAATGAGAGAGAGAGATAGTTTGGAGAAGGCAAATTGGTTAAATCGGTTGCGCTGAAAATGGCTTAGCAACTAGGAATATCGGCTGCCCGGAGTGCGCCTTGGCGACAAGCAATACGATATCCTTAGACGCCGAGTATGGGTTATTGAATTCGTTTTAGCGTTCATCGAACTGCTCCATGCACTTGCTGCGTAAGGAGTTCGATGTCCGAGTGAGGCATGGGAAAATGCTTGTTACTAATTGAAAACTGAAATGATTTTTTGGAAATTGATGACATGTGAGTTGCGCATGTCACAATATTACTCTTTCTCCGAAAATGTATGGTTACGTCACTTTGTCTCCAGGCTTCCAAAACACATTTTTATCACGAAGAGAGTGTTTTCTGGTGTATCTTAGGGTATAGATTATGAATATGAAGAAAAGTGTAAATTGACCATGGTGGCGTTTACGTCACTTTGTCATCTCACGGCAGTAAGAGCCTTGTACCGGTTATGACTGACCTGGTACATTATTTGATCTGAGATCAAGGACAATTTGGTGAACCTTGAGCATCATATATACATCAAACTGATCATGAGCGATGTACAGAACCTTTTTGAACATGTTTGAGCAAGTTTTGACGCTGAGGACATTGTGCAGGCCTTGGTTGTTACATGTTCTTAACTACAGAATGCTTTGGATGACCTAGAACGTCACTTGAGCTTCTTATATACATCCAAATAGATCAAAAACGATGCACAGTAACTCCTTCAACATGTTTGGGCAGGTTTCGCCGCTGAGGTATTTTGCAGGACATTGTCAAAAAGTGATGAAAAGTGAGAACTTGTTATCAATTTGATATTTTACTTTGCTCGGGATTATGATTACATAGATCGCTACGGAATAGTTTCAAAATTGGTCATACAATTCCGGAGATACGGCCGGAACAAGTTCTTAGTGTCTCAGGGAAAATAACCAGCTTATGAGTAAGTTCAAAACCCATCATGCGACACAACATCAGAATTCGAAAACAAGTTCAGTAACAATGATATCTAGTACCCTGAACCAGATTTGCCGAATCCGGATATGTTCCGGGTTGCACCGGGGAAGTGGCCAGATTTGACTGTTTTTAAATCAATCATGTGCCACATCAAATGACGTGAGGAATTTTAAATAAGATCATTGGTAGTCATATTGAGTGTAAATAGGGTCAGACCATGGGTGAATAAATTGGGATTTTTCCTATACATATAAGCAAGTTTGGTCTCTTAATATCCATTAAAATATAAACTACAGTAATGACCTGATTTTATCATCCCTTCACGCATTATTCTTTTAATGTTCAGTAATTTCCTATATCCATAATTCGAAATCTTTTCCATTAATCTTCTTGATCGATGTTAAGGGTAAACTTTGGTGCAATAAAACCATTGAAATAGCTCATGGGTTTCGTAGAATATTAGAAAATATTTTCAAGAAGGGGGCTGATAAAATCGGGTCATTATTGTATATATTATATATTTAAAAAAATTCCACCGGCTGGAGCAGGAATCGAACCCTCACTCCATGGCACACGCAAAATAGCTGTTAGACGGGTGACGCCGCTAACCACTCGACCACGAAGACCACTTTGACGTGAAAATGTCGTCATCGAAACCCAATCCAAAAGAATTATTTGTTTACTCTTGTTTCTTGCGTGACAGTAGCTCAGTGTAGTGCAGTTCTTACGTGGTGTTAAGTGTGTTCCACTGAATTTCATTAAGCAAAATGCTGTCAAATAAAAATATCGTTGAGGAATATTTTGCGTCTGGTCGAGATAAAAACCGTTTACTTGACTTTGTGTCTAGGGCACTGTCGAAAGCACCTGCGGCTGTTGCGATGGTCAAAAACCCACAGTAAGGATCGGTTCTTTAAGAAGAATGCAGAGTGGCTTGAAAGCTTATTCGCGGTAAGAATCCCTGTGCGTGCTTAATTTTAGAAAGCAGCATAAATTAACGAAGAAACGTTTTTAATACGATACCGTCGAACATTAAAAAAAAATTAACAGTTCGGAAAAATTGTACCTGTTGAGCGAAGCGCTAAATTTTCAAAAAACAACGGATTCCAAACCAATTTAAATTGAACTTGAATGAAAATTAGTAAAAGCGTGGAAATGCGTTAATGTAAAGCAAGACATACTACTGATGAAATCTGTTTTTGTTCATGTTACTAAATAATCAATAGCATTAACCGCGATTAGAAGAAGATTTGTCTTTGATATTTGTATGAATATTTTATAAAAATCCTAAACAAAAACTACCGACTCTAAATTTTACCAAAAAAACATCCAACAGTCCTTGACCCCCGGATCAACTTTGCCGAGGAAATCATCCGTCTAAATAGTTAGGGTCTTGAGATACAGCAGCACAAATATATTCACTTTCAATGCTCACTAGCGTCACCTAGTGGAGGACTTCCGAATTGTTCTGTCCATCATCCAGCAGTCCTTGACCTCCTGATTAACTTTGCCGAAGAAATCATCCGTCTAAATAGTCAGGGTCTTGAGATACAGCAGCACAAATATATTCACTTTCAATGCTCACTAGCGTCACCTAGTGGAGGAATTCCGAATTTTTCTGTCCATCATCCAACAGTCCTTGACCCCCGGATCAACTTTGCCGAGGAAATCATCCGTCTAAATAGTTAGGGTCTTGAGATACAGCAGCACAAATATATTCACTTTCAATGCTCACTAGCGTCACCTAGTGGAGGAATTCTGGATTGTTCTGTCCATCATCCAACAGTCCTTGACCTCCTGATTAACTTTGCCGAAGAAATCATCCGTCTAAATAGACAGGGTCTTGAGATACAGCAGCACAAACATATACACTTCGAATGCTCACTAGCGCCGCCTAGCGGAAGAATTCCGAATTATTATGTCCATCATCCAATAGTCCTTGACCTCCTGATCAACTTTGCCCAAGAAATCATCCGTCTTAATAGTCAGGATCTTGAGATAGATACAGCAGCACAAATATATTCACTTTCAATAATCACTAACGCCACCTAGTGGAGGACTTCCGAATTGTTCTGTCCATCATCCAGCAGTCCTTGACCTCCTGATCAACTTTGCCGAAGAAATCATCCGTCTAAATAATCAGGATCTTAAGATACAGCAGCACAAATATATTCACTTTCAATAATCACTAGCGCCACCTAGTGGAGGACTTCCGAATTGTTCTGTCCATCATCCAACAGTCCTTGACCTCCTGATCAACTTTGCCGAAGAAATCATCCGTCTTAATAGTCAGGATCTTAAGATACAGCAGCACAAACATATACACTTCGAATGCTCACTAGTGCCGCCTAGTGGAAGAATTCCGAATTTTTCTGTCCATCATCGAACAGTCCTTGACCTCCTGATCAACTTTGCCGAAGAAATCATCCGTCTAAATAGTCAGGATCTTGAAATACAGCAGCACAAATATATTCACTTTCAATAATCACTAGCGCCACCTAGTGGAGGACTTCCGAATTGTTCTGTCCATCATCCAACAGTCCTTGACCCCCTAATCAACTTTGCCGAAGAAATCATCCGTCTAAATAGTCAGGGTCTTGAGATACAGCAGCACAAATATATTCACTTTCAATGCTCACTAGCGCCACCTAGTGGAGGACTTCCGAATTGTTCTGTCTATCATCCAACAGTCCTTGACCTCCTGATCAACTTTGCCGAAGAAATCATCCGTCTAAATAGTCAGGATCTTGAAATACAGCAGCACAAATATATTCACTTTCAATAATCACTAGCGCCACCTAGTGGAGGACTTCCGAATTGTTCTGTCCATCATCCAACAGTCCTTGACCCCCTAATCAACTTTGCCGAAGAAATCATCCGTCTAAATAGTCAGGGTCTTGAGATACAGCAGCACAAATATATTCACTTTCAATGCTCACTAGCGCCACCTAGTGGAGGACTTCCGAATTGTTCTGTCTATCATCCAACAGTCCTTGACCTCCTGATCAACTTTGCCGAAGAAATCATCCGTCTAAATAGTCAGGGTCTTGAGATACAGCATTTAAATCATGCAAAATAGGAGATTTTAGGGCAAAACTGTGAAAAACCCCAACTTACCCTATCGTGCCCAAGATGAAACCCACTCCAATCGATTTCTGAGACATTTTCTATAAGAATGACTATTTTTTAGTCTCTTGTTCCAGCGAGCACCGAAGTTATTGAATTTTAACACATTGTTTCGATTTTGTCCATTGGTGCATTGGTGCGACCTATAAACATCGATCAATCATTTCCATTTTTTGCATAGACTCATATCATGGGGTATTGAATCGAACTAGAGGGTGGCCTGAAGAAATGTATCACTATTAAAAAAATTAAGCCCCTACTCTATGACAGCTATAAAATAATTTGCAGCTTCTAAGGTGTTAATCAGCTGTACCATTTTCAAGACTGTCTCCTTTCTGTGGAAGAGCCCAAAATAGGATAACTACTAACCCCCTAAACTTTTCATTCACCCAATAACGCATTTCTCTCTCCCCTATTTTTCACTCCCCCCATCAGGTCGGCTATCTAAAACTCTCCTTCATGGACCTAACGGAGGTGAGTGCATACACCTTCCGCGGCCTGACCAACGTGAAGATCCTGTCGCTGCAGGAATCCGACCTCGGAGTCATCAGTGCCAACGCATTCGACGGGCTGGAGCACGTCGACACGCTCAACATCCTAAACAACAAGATAGATGCCATCCAAGAGCTAAACATCACGTACGCCAATCACATCAAAACGCTCCGGCTGCAGGGCAATCATCTACTGGAGACACCGGAACCGGGCAGCATCACCCTGGAAGGGCTCAGCCAACTGCACGTGGTAGGTAACTATTTCCCCTGCGGTTGCCACATTCACACCCTGCTGGAGAGCCCAGTGGCGAACGGGACCTACGGCAATGGAGAGGATTTCCTCTCGAAAAACTACTGCATCTCGCCACTCGAGGTCAACGGCCTGCAGATGAGCCAGATCGATATCTTCGCCATCGGCCGGTGCCACGAGCAGGTGACGCGTGAAAACCTGGAAGCGTCCGGAGCGGCCACTCGGCAGCACTATTTGGCCGTTCTTCTGGGCGGCCGAGGACGACGCCCGGAAAGCAGCGCCAGTGGGAATTGCTGCAGCAGCAATAGTAACAGCAGTAGCAGTAGTTGGTGCGGCTGGTGGTGGAATAGAATCAATTATTCAACCGTCGCACTGCTGCACCTGTATTACGCTTTGGCACTGTTAGCTTATTTTAAATATTTCAGACTGAAAATCAGTTGAACTTAATAGGCTTGCATCGCCTCCGATTGTGTATATTTAGTTGTCACGCTTAGATAATTATGTCCTCCCGACGCTTCCACGATGGGAAATGGGTCGAAGGCTAAAGGGATAGTTTCCGTTGCGTCGTTCCACGTCAAAGAGCACGCCAAGTCAGACCAGAATATCCTAAAATGGTCGCAACCCAATCATCGGTGTGTACTTTGACATGGAACGACCCCCCACACCGTTACAAATGTAGAATAAACGCGAAACGACTGTAATAATTATGCTGTGCAACTAATTTCAACGACTCCGGATGCGGGGAAAATGCAGTTGGCGAAACAATAGCAAAAAACAGCGCGCTACGAATGCAGCTTGTAATTGGCGCAAACTATAGATACAGTGTTGTGTTGTTAGGTAGTAGGAAGCCAGTAGCAAATAATAGCGGAACCCAGTCGGTCCCGCTCCGAATTGAAGGAAGCGCATTCTGCAGCGCGCGGGATTAGAACTAATGACACGAAACTGCAAAAGCTTTGCACCGGAAATGGGGAGCAATTTCGATGCAGCAAATTGGGCGACGCAATTATCGCTTGGCAAACGGGTAGCAGTTGATTTGCTGACACGTTTGAATAATGCATTTTTTTTTCGGATTATTATGATTGAACATTATCAATTTTGAAACAATAATGCTTGTTTTGCTAAAATATAAACTCGACGAGCAATTCTCGAAAGCTTAAACTAAACAGGAAAAATTATCATAGAAATTGTTTGTTGTTTGAAGAATCATCATCCGGTGGCCGGAGATCAGCGCAACCAATATTAGTGCAACATGACCACGGAGCAATCCGGACGAGAGCGGGGAGTGAGGGGTGGTTGGCTATTCAAACAGTTGTTTTATGTTGTATGTTTTTTTTTTTAGTTTTGCATTGGGTTTAGGTGGAATTATTGCATCGTTTGGAGTGGAATGTGCGTGTTTAAATCACAGTTCGTGACTTTCACGCCGGAATGCAACCACACTAACCAGCAATAGTAGCGGTAGCACCGGTTTCAGTATTTATTTTTGATTGTTTTTTTTTTCTGCTTGAGTTTCACTTTTAAAATGAATTGGCTCAACAATAATTGTGGGTGCACTCGATGGTTATTATGAAATAATTGCGGCACTTGGTAAAAGTGCCAGAACTTTTTGTTCTCTACAGTTAATAATAGCAAACTGTTCGAGCTGGCAACAGAAAAAAAATCAACCGAATGAAAGTTAAAAATTTGATTAAACAAATTGAAAACTTCGAAACACTTGTGAATTGGCACTATTTTAGTGATGTAACCAGCTCAGTGATGATGATGATGACAATTGAGACTACCACTCATGTAGCAAGGCACCTACACATAGCAATTGTCAATCCAATCAGGACGACTTGATCAAGTCCCACTCACAAATCATATTCAGCTGGGCGCTGTATGAGGAGCCAAAAAACGGTAAGCAGAAACGCCCACACGAAACCAAACGGACACAGAAGAAGTATCTTGATAGAAACGTCTACTCAAGTTAGAGTGCAAGTAACGAATGAAATTTTATTGAACAATTATACCAACGCTTACTAAGTTCTAGCATCCCCCCTTAAGTGGGAAATCTTTTTTTTTTTCCTTGATTTGTTTACCGTCGATCTTGTTTTCCATGCTGAGCACCAATGCTACCGACGCCAGGGAGGCAGCTCCCACACCTGGACCCTTCCTATCGACCCATCATCTCATGAACCGGGGACCAACGGCTTTACTTCCCTTCCGAAGGAAGGCGTGATCAGAGAGGTTATGCCTCAGAACATCCCGGTGGCGCCGACTGGGATTGAACCCAGGCCTAATGAGGTGAGGGGTAATCACGCTTACCACTACACCACCGGTTCCGCTGAACGGGAAATCCTGAATTCCTAACATTTTTTTCTATTGTCAAACAGCTTTGTGTTCGCTAGTGCTTTCGTTTAACATATATGCTACCTGAAGGTTAGATGGGACATAATTCAATGTAATAGCTTTACCATCTCACTGATCTCGTGCATAATGATGCCTTATGTCTATGCGCTTGCTTCTTGAAGAGTAGCCGACATCCTTCTCCGCCAGACTTATTACGCTCTTGTTATCGCAGGTGATCGGAACGAAAATTTCGACACCGTGAAGCTCTTGTAGGAATCCCCTCCACCATGCCGCTTCCTGAGTGGTAGAAGAGAGTGCCTATATTCAGCCTCGGTGGTGGAAAGTGCTACGGTGGACTGCCTCTTGGAGCTCAAAGAAATAGCACCTCCACTTTACAGGAACACGTAGCCGGTAATGGAACGCCGAATTTCAACGTCGTTCGCCCAATCCGCATCGCTGTATCCTTGAAACTTCTGCTCGTAGTTGGCCCGATACACCAGCTTGTAGACCTTTGTAACTTTCAGGTACCGTAGAATTTGTTTGGCTGCCGTCCAGTGAGCTGCTCCAGGTTCATGGCTGAAGCTGCTGACGACACTCACCGCGTGGCTGATATCTGACTGAGTGCACTGCGCCCAAGGGGTGGTCACTCTACACACTTACTTTGCGCCAACATTTTTCTCAGTGTACCTCAGTGTGCCGCAGCTGTATAAGCAGTGCCATGAAGTAGAAGAAGTAATTGAACTGACTTTTGTTTGCTTGTGAATAATGCCTTGTTTGGCAACCCGGTATTTTAACAGCTCTTGTTTTTGTTTTGATTTTCAATGTTTTCAAAAACATCCATCTTCGGCGGAAGGCCGACCCCGCACAACGAACGTCAATCATTAGTCGACCAGTCCTTCTGGGAGCCAGCGGAGGATTTGCACCGAATTTGTTACCGCCCGAGTATCATCCGTCGGAGAACTGGAAACCAACACCGGCCGGAACACACGTCGGACTGATGAAGGACGCACCGCTGACCCGAAACGGACCAGTCAACTTCATTCAACCCGCACAGCAATAGGGCGCAGTGATGATGGTCTACGGACTCGATAACAACACAGCTAACACCGATAAGCAGTTCAATATGTCCTTCCTGTATGGAAATGTTGTCAGAATAAAGTTCCTGAAGACCAAAGAGGGTGCCGCCATGGTCTAGATGGGAACGCCATCACTGTCGAACCATGTACACCCTTCCGCACAATTCGATCAGCTTCAAGGTCTACAACGCCTCCAAGAACAATCACTTCCCAGGCCAGCAAAAATCGCATTCTCCACTTCTTCAATACCCCACCCGTATGCCGTCCGACGATCTGCTACTGATTGCATTCACCATCAAGGACTGCCACCCGTCGCAAGTGCGAATGTTCCCGCTGATATCGGAAATTTACTCCTCCGGATTGGTGGAGTTCCCGAGCGTAGCCCTGGCGGTGAACGCCATCATGAAGTGCTGGTGGTGTAGTAGCGGTGGCGATGGATGTATTCGAGCAGTTCGAATGGTATAGTTTTTGTTTGGTTGACTTTCCGATAAAACTCAAGCACCGCTTGTCGTGACCGGCCCGAGATTTCCAGCGTCGGCCACGGCTACAAGAATTAGCGATTCAGCTCCCACGGCTGCGGCTGCTTCTGCTTTAGTTGTTGCTGCTGCTGTTCCTTCTGCTGGTCCGTCTCCTCTAAAATTCATTTAAAAAAAAAGACGGACCAGCAGCAGATTTGGAAGCAGCCGCAGCCGTGAGAGCTGCATCGCTAGTTCGTTTAGCCATGGCCGGAAACCTCGGTCAGGTCAAGATACCGCTGTCATCTGTTCTTTGTCTGGGAGGAAATGTGGATGCGACTGCTGTCACGGGTGTAACGATTTTGAGAATCCATGGCCAGACTTGGTGGAGATTCACGGTTGTTTTGAAAATAATTCGATTATATTATGGCAACATCAATAACACATTTTGACACATGCACACTGAGCGCAGTAAAAGTTCAGTGTTGCCAGTAACTTTAAAGATCATAAAAATTGTAACCATGGGTGCCAAACAGCGTCAATGACGACGCCCGCGGGTGCCCAAGTTTGATTTTGGCACACTGTGTAGAGTGACCAACCCCTTGACTGCGCCCCAAACTGCAAACCACCGACGAGTTTCTTGAACGGAGTGCTTCTCATCTTCTCTTTCTCTTCCATAGATTCGGGTTGCATCACTTTCGTCAACTTTTGGTTCACGTCCAGGGGTTTCGATACGGAGTTGGATCATTCCATCCGGAATCGCTGCAGAAGTTTGTCAATGTAATGCTCCTGGTCTATGGCTACCATTCCATCGGATCGATTGACCCGCAGTCCCAAGATGTGCTTGACGTCCCCTAAGTTCTTCATTTGGAACTCTGAACACAGTTGTTGCTTGACTTCGTCCACCAGGGCTTGATTGTTGGAAAACAGTAGAAAGTCGTCCACATAGACAGAAATGATGATCACCATGAACCGGAAGTACACGCAGGAGTCATAGTTAGATCGCTGGAACCCAATCACCTTGAGTTTCCGATCCACCTTCTGGTTCCAGATACAGCTCGCTTGCTTCAACCTGTACAGGGCCTTCTTGAGTCAGCACACCTTCGTCGATGCCCGTGCCCTTCCGGTTGTTCCATGTAGATCTCCTCTCCATGAAGTTCACACTGCAATAATGCAGTCACCGCATCCTTTTGGCACACCAGCAGATCGTATTTGGCCGCCATTCCCAAGAGGTAGCGCACGGTTGCATACCGTACCACCGGAGAATACGTTACGTCGTAATCCTCGGCTTCTAATTTGGGAATACCCTTTAATCACCAGTCAGGCCTTATGTCGTTCGATGGAGTCATTCGGACCCGTCTTCAGCGCATACACCCACATATTTTTGAGTGCTCTCCGTCCCGCCGGTAGATCGACAAGGTCCCATGTGTCGTTATCGCACAACGACCTATGCTCGGCCTCCATTGCGCCGATCCAGTCATCGCGGTCCGGTCGTTCCAATGCCTGCTGACGCGTCTCGGGTTCGCTAGCAATCTGTGGAGTCCAGAATCGTGTTGCGGTCCAACATGACGGGAGCGCAGTGATG